GCCTGGGCGGGTTTCTCGTGAATAACTTTGTGTTTCCTTTTCCCGGCTTTTGTCCACTCGCACGTCCGGGCCTGCGGGGAAGCAGCGAACAAAAGGACAAGATAATAAAGGTGAGCGGAGCCGGGACGGGCCGTGCGGGCCCCAGGGCGGAGCGGGAAGCGGGGCTTGTTGAGAATCGGGCGCTCCGTGCGGAGGAAGAGCAGGGCCCGGGAGAGGCGCCCAGAACCGCCAAGTTTTTCTCGCGCAGGTTCAGGGAAATGCAACTTTAGGTTAGGATACTTGGGAGATTTAACGGGTTTAAAGTAGACTTTTCAAGAGATGAATAAACAGGTGGTTCGAGAATTCCATCTTCCTATCCTACCGCGAGATGCTTGATTTGAATGGGGGAGGGGACCCTGGCCAGGGCCTTGCCTGTCTGTGCCCCAGGTGTGGGGCTGACTCTGGGTGACTTGCCAGCCCTTGGCCCTGTAAGCTAGCTCTTACTCTAATAGCTGGAGCCCTTGTGATCTGTCTTGAGGCAGACCCCCAGGACTCATTCTTGTGAGAACTAGTGACTCTACTTTGTGTTTACTCAGAAGATTGTTTTTAACGTGTGTGTGTGTGAGTGAGAGAGAGAGTGAGAGAGTGAGTGACTCGGGTGTAAGCAGATACGGTTCATCGTGTTTTAAGATTGGAGAAGGCCCAGCACTTCCTTACCTCCCCCTTCCTTTCCTGGCTGGGCACAGTGACAGAGGAAGAGAACAGGGCAGATAACAACGCGTTCACCAACGCCTTGTTCTGTCCCACTCTCTTCCCAGCCACGCTGCCCTGCGTTTCCTGGTCTCCTCTCCTCGCAGGAACAGCTAGGCTTTGGGAAGCGCCGTTCTCTGTGTGGTACGCGTGGGTCTCAGACCACATCATCTTTACCAAAACCTGGCTACGAGTGCCTCACGTTATTTTGTCTGCACCTCTGTCTTGTCAGCGTTTACCAAATCGCAGTTAATTTTTGTCAGAAAGGTAGCTTAAGTTATTGAAAGTTGTGCATCATCTTTGTAATTAGTTGTGTAAGTACCAATTTTGTAATGACTGTTTTTAAGTAGAAGCAACGACTACTAGGAATGGATGGAGATAAGCCTTATTACCTTTAATTTTCATGCTTAAAAGTAACTTTTTGAAATTTAAATGTAGCATTTTGCAATCTCTCGTTCTAGTACAAAATGGTTCTTTGCATCAGAAGGACACAGTTCATGACAATGACTTTGAGCCCTACCTTTCTGGACAGTCAAACCAGGTGAGTTTATCTTTCTTAACGCGTATTTTTCCATTAGTTTTGTGACACAAGTTTAATACCGTAAATCTGACTTTTATTATCCTAAACAGCAAAGAAGCGGAGTATAAAATGCTGTAAACGACGTCCTACTGAGGCTGGCATTCGACCGAAGTTGTAGTTGGCCTCAGTATTGGCGGGTAGTGATACACTGCGTTTGACAGAGTGGAGGTGTGCATGGTTTTCTGAAGGTGTCCGGTGACTTTGTGTTAGCTCTGGACAATGGGAAGGAGCAGGACTCTCGAGCGAGACTCTGGCCCTGGGTTCTTCACTCCAGTGATGACTGTGTGACACTGCCTCAGTGGCTTGCCCTCTCTGTGCCTGCTTCCTTTTCTGTAGGACAGTTCACAGTGGCTCCTGATAGATCTGGGGAGGCTGAGACTAGACAGTTTGTGTAAAGCTCAGGGTGGTACCTGGGTAAGTCAGTGCCACCTGGTTTTCTTAGGTATTTCAAGGTCTCTCAACATTGGCACTAAGGATGTTTTGGACTGAAACAGACTTTGTTTTGGGGGCTGTGCTGTGCATTGTCAGATATTTGGCAGCCTCCCTGGCCTTCATTCATGAGATGCCACTAGTACCCCCTCCCCTGCCCCCTAATCACACGGTCTGGTTTTGGGACAACCAAAGATGTCTCGGCAAATGTCTCTGGGAGGCTGAATAGCCCTGGTTAAGACCACTTGGCTGGTTGGATTTAGGTTTAAGCCTAGTGTCTACTGCTTTTAAAGTGTACTGTGCATGTTTGCTTTAGTGTCAAACCAGGTTCTGCCTCTTCCTGTGGCGTAAAGCTACTCAGCCTCTTTTCTTGCTAGTCTGCCCCTCTGTGAAGTGTCTTAGAACTTTTCTTCACCCTCCTCTTTCTTGCTGCACTTGGCAAGTCAGCAGCTGAGGGACCTGAGAGACCCTGTACAGAGGGGCCCCGAGAACCCACCCTCCTGGGCAGGATGAGGGCTGCACAGTAGAACTGGCTGCTCAGTGATGGGCGGTCAGCTGGAGGTAGTGACCAGGAAGTTTAGTGGACTTACTTTGTTGACCATCTTATTTCTCTTATGTGTTGGGCCTAAAAGTGTTACATGTTTAGCCTTATGTTTACAAGGCAGGAGCTTTCGTTACTCCAGAGGAGTTCCTTCCAGACAGAGTGGGTGATTTTCTGATATCAGAAGAGGGCCGGCTATCCCCCGGGAGCCGTGTGGAAAGACCCTACAGGTTGGTGCTGTCAGTGAACAGCCTGAAAATGGCCCCTTCCTCCCGGATGTTAGATGTGCAGTTTTCAGCAAGATCAGTTCACACGGTGAACCTGCTGAGAAGGCCCTTGATTGAGAACAGACTGTCCGTAAATGCCCGACTGCTGGAGGGCACAGGAAGCCTGTGACCGCCAGGGCTCTTGGATCCTCGTCGTCTCGTGGATGAGGAACCTGAGGGCCGGTGCCTCGTGCCAGGCGTGCAGCCAGGCTCTCTGGGTCCTGTGTCTGCCTCTCCTTTCTTCACGTGAGCAATGATGCAGTCAGGAGTCACTGGGGATGGTTGCTGCCTCTCCACGTGGACTCTGCCGGCGGAGGTTTAGGAAGGTGCTCAGACTGAGGATGTGCTGTGATGTCCAGCCTGACTGCTGGTGCGTGAGCTGGAGCAGTGGTGGCGTGGCCAGCAGCGGGAAGCGCGCAGCCCTGTTTGCGCCAGGTTCTGCTGAGGTGGTGCTGCCGCCAGGTGGACCGTGGCGAGAGGGCCCACTTGTGTACACAATCCTCCCTCACGGAGCCAGCGCCTCCGTCAGCTCTGCGATGCTCATCTGTCAGAACTCAGGTGTGGTTTCTAGTAGCCTCTTGGAGACACTGTGGCTTTCTGATTTGTGAAGCCTTGGTATTGAAGATGACTTGGAAAGCATTTAGAAGCAGGCCGTCTAAGTTCAGTTGGTTAATGGTAATGCTCTGTAATGGGACTGTTGTGCTCGGGTGGCTGGTCCTTCCCTCAGGAAGGCTGGGGCCACTGCTCCCGGTGTGCGTGTCCCTTCCTGGGGCTCCTGGGGCAGCACACGTTGGTCAGCTTTCCTGAAGCAGCGGGGTCCGGGTGGGGGCCCGGGGTGAGGGCGCTGGGTGGGGCTCTGCCGCTGCTGGGTCCTCCTGACTTTGTCCTCAGGGCCTGCCTCCTTTCCAGTCCTGTTTTGTTTTGTTTTTTCCCCCCGAAAGGACCCAGAAAAGTTCCTCTTCTGAGTTGTTGCAGGTGTGCCAGCCAACTGCCAGGCCGGGAGGGAACCAACGGGGCGCCTGCATCTACACTGGAGGCACTCGGCTGTCGATGGACCTGTCAGTGTGCCTGGTCACACCTGCCCGGTACAGAAGGGATAAAAGCGAACTTTTTATTCCTCCTTAACAATTCTGTCTTGCTTGGAGTGTAACGAGAAACACTCACTGTACGAGAGCGCTCTGTGAAGGTACTTGTTTCGGGTCCCGGCGCTGGCCGTCTGTAACCAGAGGAAGCTGAGCTGCTGGTCGAGTCTTGACCTATTGTGTGCAGAACCACCGGAAGTGCTGGGCACGTGTTTTAACACTTGAGGGCGCCGCGTGGCATCTCTTGGAGACCTGGTGTACAGTGTCTCTCAGATGTTGTCTTGTGTGCATTGGAGTTTGTGCCTCTTTACTCTCTTTGCAAGAAGCTTCTGCCTGGCATCCCTGGCAGGGCCCTCCTTGAAAACTGTGCCGTGTGCAGGGACCCTAACCCACCTGTATTGTGAAAGCTGTCAGCAGGTGTTCTGTCAGGTTTTGGGTGGTTTTTTCACCCAGCAGCACAAAGCTGGGCTAAATCGATACCTTTTCTTGGTGTTGGGGCCACTGTGAAGAGTCTGGGAGGAAGTTGGCATGTGACTTACCGCTCCTCGGCGGCTCTGGTGGGCCAGTGAGCCCGGGCAGCGAGGAGTGCCTGGTCAAGTGGGCACTGGCTGAACATCCGTTTCCTGTAGCTGCATCTGAGAGCCAGGGACGTCCTAAAACACAAGGATGGTGCACACAGTAGGGGCTTCCATCTGAAATGCAGCTAACAGTGCCCGAAGAGCGGTGACAGACCTCTTTGTGAGGTCACTCAGAACTGCTCGCCGAGGCAGGAAGCAGATGCAGGACTCCGAGGGGGGAACCAGCTGCACCCCCAGGCCTCTCCCCGGAGCCTGTGTCACTCACTTTGTCACCACTCCTCACTGCCCTAGGTGCTTTTCCTCTTTTACATAATTTATGATAGTCACTCCCCTCCCCCAAGTAAATGCTGCTCTGCAGACTCCAGAAGTGTTCTCTTTGCCTTGAGGTTCTGAAGGGTCCTTCCTGTTTTTCCTTCCATTGCCTCCTCTTGGTCACCTTAATGGCTGAGTCACTTTACTGTTTGTGAAACTTAAAGCATTTGAGTAATTTTGGAATTATTCCTTCTAAGAAAGCTGGGTTTAGGAAGCAGACATTTCAAGTTTAAAATAGATGGTTCTGGTTGTTGAGACTGAAAGGTTGTTTTTGATGTGGGTGAGTGTTGGTAAGTATAACAAACACTTAATGATAGGACAGGCTTACGGCTTTATTGTCTTTTACTGTTTGTTCTTCGAAGAAAGTGACCTCGGAGTAACTGTCACGACTGCTTGAACTTACTTGGTTTGGAGGGCACGTTTTGCCTGTCACGTCTGCCTTGGCCTAGGGGTGCAACGCTTGGGGCTGTGTTCCCTGCAGTCAGCAGACGTTTTGGCGTGAAGACCTGCCGCCTCCCTTCTCTGAGGCCCTAAGTTGTGCAAAGGCGGTAACTAGAAGCCTCGTGCGGTCAGGGCGATGGCTTTGTTGTTTTACCTGCATTGTCCTTGAAAGAATTTTTTCCTGTGCTGCTCCTTTCACAAGACCCACGACCCACCTGCGCAGAGGCCTGAAGGCGTGGAATTTGTTTCCATCCCTTTGGCTTCTGCACCTGCATCCCTAGCAGGTGAACCCACGCACTCTAGCTGGGCCTTGCGGCTCTCGCAGGAGCCAGGCTGGACAGTGTTTGAGCTACTGTGCTGAGTGTTTTGAGAGCCTGAGGCCAGGACCGGTGGCTTCCGAGGGGCTGCCTGTGATCACGAGCGGCCCAACTCTGCAGTGCCATTGGCGGGCTCACGTAGAGTTCACGTTTGAAACAAGTATAGTTTTAGTTTTGCTGTAAGTTGAGGCCAGAACAGTCACCGCCACCCCACCCCGTGCTGCAGATGGCCTGGAACCACCTGGAACCACACCCTCAAGGCAGCGAGGAGGGGAGGTGGTGCGGTGCAGACCACAGTGCTCGGGGAACACCTCCAAGTTCTCCTGCTGCAGAAGGAGCTCTGCTGGGTCACTTGCTGCCTTGCTTTCGGAGTTTTGCAGGAAATATGGCAGAGGTGGTAGGAACTGTGCTGCCAGCAGGGTGGGGATGCAGGTGGGCTAGGGTCCCTGCACAAAGCCTGCTGTGTGCTGGCGGCCTGGTGGGGCCAGACAGCGTGGACCGGGCTGGTATGGAGCCCAGCCCTCTAGGTAGCCCTCACCACCAGCCTGCTTGGCCGCTCCTCTCCCAGATGCCGCCCTGCCTGGCCTTACCCCAGGGCTGGACGCAGGGTCCCGGTGATGCTGGCTGGCTTGTCTCCTCTTTCCCTTGGATAGTCCTGGCTGGAGGCGGCCAAGAGCCACCTGTCCACACAGTGGTGCTGGGGTGACCGGGATGGTGGACTTGTCCATTAGTGGCGGGACTTGGGACGGATGTGAGGGGAGTTCAGGGCTGAGCATGACACACGAGAGCTCGCGTCCTGGGTTGCGTCCTGTCGTGGCTCAGGTTTACGTGTAGGTCAGAGTGAGGCGCTGGGTCTTTCGGGGAGCACAGTGCTGTGGCCCCGCTGCTGCCACTCTGGTTTGTCCAGGTGGTTCAAATGCCGTGCAGCCCCTGGTCCTCTCTTCTCCCCAGGGCCTTCCTTGCATGCGAGGGAAGTGCGTTGATGCCAGGAGGGCCAGGCTGGCAGGAGGAGGGCTCCGAGTCAGAGGCCTGAGCCCCTGGGCCCGCCCCTCCTAACACATCCCCCAGTAGTCCGCTCTCCTCTGCTGCCTCTCCAGTGGGCCCAGGTTGGGCGGAGGCAGGCTGACCGAGAGGTTACGTTAAAGGGGCCAGGATCACTGAGGTCCTTTCCCTTGCATGTCCGTCCTGTTTCTTGTATCCCGGAGAATCTCAAGGGCTTGTGTTAACAGGCAAACTGCTACCATTGCATTTGAAAAGGTGGTTCTAGAATAATCTGCTGTCAAGTGGAGCAGCTGATGGGGAGGAGATCTGAGTCCTGAGGCCTCGAGTGCCCCAGGATGGGCAGGGAGCCAGGAGGTGGCCGTGCAGACCAGCAGTGTCAGTGCTGTCTCGGGACATGCCTGGGGACTGGCCTGACCTCCCCAGGGTCTTCTGGGGGATCCGGAGAGTGCCTGCCCGTTCTCATTGCCCATAAGCAGAGCTGCTTTCCTCTTGGTGTCCTGGACCCTCCCTGGCTGCCTTCGCCCGGCTCCCTGCCTGGACACCAGCCACCCTCTGCGGACAGGGTGGCAGGTGCTCTCTCCTGAACATGGGCGCGGGGTTAGGGAAAGAGTTTAAAGCCGCTGCTTTCCACGTAGAACTTTCTGGCTGCTCGGGGGACGTGGAGAGGGGCCGCGAGCGGCGTCACAGGCTGGAGGGCTCCACGTCTGCCCTGCTTTGTTTCCCTCGCAGCCCTCCCGCTCCCAGTCCCCGGTCTGACCGGCAGCCCCGGGTGAGTCTCCCTGAGCAGCCACCTCCCAGAACTGCTGGCTGCAGCTCTAAATCTGGCAGAAGTGAGGGAGGCGCTGCGGCCTCAGGGTCCAGCGCTAAGAAACTCCTCCTGGAGCTTCCAGCTGCTGCACGGAGGTGGCTTCTCAGTGAGGGGCCCGGGTGAGGCGGGGGCTCCTGTGGTCCAGAGAACAGAGCGGGACACTCACTGGGCAAAGGGGCTGGACCAGCCGGGGCCTCCTCCATCACCTGGCCCGCTCCGAGAGCCCCAGGCCATGCCCAGGAAACGGTGGGGACTGAGGAGGTGAGACCCTGGAACTCAGAGGCAGGCCATCAGGAAAGGCCTGTGGAAGGGGCCTCGGGAATGGCCCTGGGTGGGTGGCAGGGGTCCTGTGGGTGGAGAGTGGGAAGGGGTGTCTAGATGCATAACTGCTGAACTTGAAGTCAGCCTGCAGGGTAAACGCCTGCAGTGCTGAACGTCCTGACTGCTGTGAGGAGTCTGCGGCTCTTCTAAAGCCTCCCCCGTCCTCCTGGGCTGCCCGTGCTGCCCGTGCTCCTCATGAGCTTTGCTGCCAGCGGGGCAGAAGGTAGCTCCTCACTCTAGGTCCGTTTAAACGGGTCTCTTCTTGAAGGTCAAGTGGGGACGTGGGGTGCTGAGTAGATTGCTGTCACCTGACTTGAATCCATGTCATTGCAAGTGATATTCTGTGTTTGGAGGTGACCAGCTGGACTGTCCCTGACCTCACCCTCACCTGTCCTTTCTGGGCTCCTGTTGCAGGTGGGGCTTGTGCAGGACAGGCCTGGTTTCCCATCAGCCTGCACTTAGGCAGGAGCAGTTGGCGTTCCGGTGTCTCCTCGGTGTTGGGACAGCATCTAACGCGGCTCGTGCTTGTTTCTGCAGAGTAACAGTTACCCCTCCATGGCCGATCCCTACCTGTCCAGCTATTACCCGCCATCCATCGGATTTCCCTACTCCCTCAACGAGGCGCCCTGGTCTAGCGGAGGGGACCCTCCCATCCCGTACCTCACCACCTACGGACAGCTCAGTAATGGAGACCATCATTTTATGCACGATGCTGTTTTTGGGCAGCCTGGGGGCCTGGGGAACAATATCTATCAGCACAGGTTTAATTTTTTCCCCGAAAACCCTGCCTTCTCAGCCTGGGGGACGAGCGGGTCTCAGGGGCAGCAGGCTCAGAGTTCTGCTTATGGAAACAGCTACACCTACCCGCCAAGCTCCCTGGGCGGCACGATTGTGGACGGACAGACAGGCTTTCACAGTGACACCCTCAACAAGGCCCCTGGAATGAACAGCCTGGAGCAAGGCATGGTGGGCCTGAAGATTGGGGACGTCACCACCTCTGCGGTCAAGACGGTGGGGTCAGTGGTCAGCAGCGTGGCGATGACGGGCATACTTTCTGGCAGTGGTGGGACGAACGTGAGCCTGCCGGTGTCGAAGCCGGCCTCATGGGCTGCTATCGCCAGCAAGCCCGCGAAGCCACAGCCGAAAGCGAAGGCCAAGGGCGGCCCTGCGGTGGGGGGTGCACTGCCCCCTCCTCCCATAAAGCATAACATGGACATTGGCACCTGGGATAACAAGGGGCCTGGGCCCAAGGCCCCGGCTGCCCAGCAGGCGCCGGTCCCCCAGGTGGCCCCCCAGCCGACTGGGCAGCCTCTTCCCGCTCAGCACCCCCCTCTGGCACAGCCGCAGTACCAGAGCCCCCAGCAGCCTCCCCAAACCCGCTGGGTCGCCCCTCGCAACCGGAACGCTGCGTTCGGGCCGAGTGGAGGGACAGGCGGCGACAGTAACTCCCTCGGGAACACGCAGCCCAGCTCTGCCCTGGGCGCGGAGTCCCACCCAGTCCTGGAGAAGCTGAAGGCGGCCCACAGCTACAACCCCCGGGAGTTCGACTGGAACCTGCGGAGCGGCCGCGTGTTCATCATCAAGAGCTACTCGGAGGACGACGTGCACCGCTCCATCAAGTACTCCATCTGGTGCAGCACCGAGCACGGCAACAAGCGCCTGGACAGCGCCTTCCGCGCCCTGGGCAGCCGGGGGCCCGTCTACCTGCTGTTCAGCGTCAACGGCAGCGGGCACTTCTGCGGGGTGGCCGAGATGAAGTCGCCCGTGGACTACGGCACAAGCGCCGGGGTTTGGTCCCAGGACAAGTGGAAGGGCAAGTTCGACGTGAAGTGGATCTTTGTCAAGGACGTGCCCAACAGCCAGCTCCGGCACATCCGGCTGGAGAACAACGACCACAAGCCGGTCACCAACTCCCGCGACACCCAGGAGGTGCCCCTGGAGAAGGCGAGGCAGGTGCTGAAGATCATCGCCGCCTACAGGCACACCACCTCCATCTTCGACGACTTCTCGCACTATGAGAAGCGCCAGGAGGAGGAGGAGGTGGTGCGCAAGGTGGGTCTGGGTCCCGGGAGGGCGTGCGCGGCCTCGGCGGCGATGGGCAGGCCCGCTTGGATGTCACCACGTAACTTGGGATCCCTTGCCATGCTCACAGAACTCGATTGGGCCCACTCATTTTTGTGGGGAAAAGACAAGTTTGTCATTTATTGCCAGTTACTGCGATTCTCTGTTTTAGCTCTTGGGTATGAAATTGAACTACTGAATTTACAGGGACAGAACAGAGAGCGTCGCTAGTGAAACTTGAGGTCCCCAGCCGCAAGAAGCGGGCTCGCTGTGTGTGGTTTGTCGTAAATGCTGTGACTGCTGGGTTGTGAAGCTGTGATGTGCTGAGGGATGATTTTCTGCCCCTAACCAGGTTGGTGTTTTGAGGAGCTATTGTCCTGAAATGTGCATCGTGGCGGTTGGAGCCTTCGGTGCCCACGCTGGTGTGTCCGGGATCGGGAGTGAGGGAGGTGGCTGTGGTCACGGGAGCCATGGTGCTTCTGGCTTTGAGCTGCCCCTCCAGTGGGCTGGAGGGAGATGGGCCGTGCCACCAAGATGTTCCAGTTGACAAGCAGGGTTGTCCTCTGTCGCTTTGCTGTGCGACTTCACTGGGCGCTGCTCCTCCCCCCTTGTGGCGGGGACGCTGTGGAAGCAGGTGAGTGGCCGGGGGCAGGATGCCTTTGTCCGCAGCTGACAGTGTTCGATTAAGTCCTGTTCCTGAGAGTGGCAGAGAGGAGCCTGCCCTGTTGCTGCCCTGGTGGAGCCTCAGAGGTCCCAGGAGTCTGGTTTCCAGGGAGGGCTAGGGTGTGTCCTTCACTCTGATGGGCACGGACGCCCTCATGATCCCGCGCTTGTCTGTCCTGGAGACTCTCAGGTCACCCTTTTGTTCATCATCTGGAGTTTGACTCCATTGTTTTCAATGATTGGAAGTGCTTAAAATCGGGCCTTGTTGAGAGGCCAGGCGTACTTGCCGCTTTGCAGGCGCGCTGGCCGTCCTACACCTGGGCTGTCTGCCTGAAGGCGCACTGTTGCTTTGGGGAAGCACCAGGTCTTGTGGCAGCTGGGTCAGACCGAGCCCCAGAAGCCTGTGGTTTTCAAGTCTAGAAACAGTCACTCCTTAGGGCGCTTAAAATAGTGCAGGTTTCCATTGACAGTGGGAGTGAGCTGAGAGTTCCTCGGACAGCTCGACTGGCCACGGCCCAGGGCCACTCCACGGAAAGCCGGGTGAAGACAGAGGGTTAGGGGTGAGCCCTTGCTGGCGTGTTTGTTGTTGAGTGTCCCTCTCAGGAAGGAACTCTGCTTCCCATGTGGTTCAGCTGTTTTGAGAAGAGCACGTCTCACAGTTGGAGGAGTGGAGGTGGTTTAGCAGTCAGGGTGCTCAGCCTGGGAGGCTGCCTGTCTGAGCTTGAAGGAGAGGTTGCCATCTGCTCTCCGGGGGTAGAGGGCAGTGCCTGTGACTTTTTTTTTTAGGAGAATGTAAAATATAGAGTTCTTAATTTTTCCAGTGTTTGGAGTTCAGGGTAGGGAGGAAATGTTATAGTTGTTAGAGGAGTGACCATAGGTGGCCCTGCGGCGAGCCGTGTCCTGGGTGACGACGCTGAGGGTGGGGGTTGGTGTCGCATTTCCCTGAAGACACGTCTAGTCCGTTCGCAGCAGAGGAGAGGCTTTCACTTGCATTGTGCGTTACACGAGTGGCAGTCCTGAGTGTCAGGAGATGAGTCATCGCCAGTCCGCGAGCGGTGCCCCCATCCTGGAGGGGCCAGAGGGAGCCGGACTCGGTGTGTCTCCTGCGAGTCAGCTGCGGCTGCGGCCCGACTAACGAACAAGAAGGCTGGAGGGTGTGGGGAGGACTGAGCGCTGGTCACAGGCTGGTCCTGCACGCGCTGGGATGGGTGGTCCTCCTGATGTAAGAACAGACTGGCCAGGGGAGCCTTCCTTGCACAGGTGTCTGTCGCTGGTAGGTGGTTATCAGAGGCCAGGTCCCACGCCCAGACCCCAGGGCCTGGAGCTGCCGTGGCGTGGCGGTCCCAGCAGGGAGCTCAGGTCTAGACCTGCGGCCGCGGCCCTTGGGCTTTGGGGGAATTTGTGTGCACGGCATGTTGGCCCGGCATGTTCAACCCCTCTCCTTTCTTTTCACAGGAACGGCAGAACCGGAACCGACAGTGAGGCTCAGAGGGGTTCTCGCAGGTCTGCGGGGTGCGGCCCGGGCGGAGGGGCGTCTTGGTGCTGTCTCCGGCGGGGCTCCTGCCGGCCTCTCCTGCAGGCTCCACTGCTCATGTCTTACCTTCTTCGTGGTTTATTTTTGCCCAGATGGCTCTGCGTTTGTTTGTATTTTTTCTATGTATTAGAATGTTGGAAACTCACTCAGTAAAGGAGTGTTTCTGTCAGCTTGTCAGTCAGACTGCCCTAATGTGAAATGTAAGTATCCTTAAAAACAAAAATCTAATACATCCCAAAGATTTATTATTATTATTTCTTTTCGGTGAAAATTATGTTCTTATTCTTACACTCAGCCATTTCACATTTCTGTACGAGACTCAGTTCTTGCCCCTTGTGCTTTACAGCGAGCGTGAGAAACCACGAGCCATCTGCCGAGCTCCGCTGACGCGCTGCTCTCAAGATGCCGGGGTCAGCGGGCTGCGGCTCACTTTGTTTGGCTGGTTTGCCATCATTTTATCTTTGTTACCTATTATCAACGTAAAATGCCAGTCTGTCCGTTTGATTTCCACTAGGCAGAAGGACACATTTTAGTTGTTCAGATTTGGTGAACGTGCTGTTTCCTTGGGGCCCCTGCCTCCTACGGCCTTGCGTGCCCGGAGGGGCCGCTGTGCTCCTGGGCGGGCAGTGGTGACAGGCCCGGGCCTGGAGGGGCTCCTCACTTTTCTCCGTGGAGCGTCCTGACGCCGTTTCATGTTTTTATACCAGTAATGCTGAGCTTTAAATGTCAGGTCTGGTAGGACAGACGGTGTGACAGGTGATGCCGCCGATTGTAAATTTCACCGTGTATGTCTAATTTTTTTTCCTGAATGGATAAAAAACAAAAAAGTCTTCTAGAAATTGAATTTGCCGTCATGTTTTGTGGACTAAGGGGCTGCTGAAGAGCTCGCCACAGGAGCTGGAGTCGGAGTGTGAGAGCCGTGCACATGCCTGCCCCACACGTGCCGCGCGCACGCACCCACGCGGAGGGCC